TCTGTCGAGAAAGTCGCGGGCCACCGCGCCCCCCTCGCCCTCCTGTGCCGCTCGCCCCACTTAATCCCCAAGGCGCTCTGTGCCCGCGTTGCCCGTCGTCGGGGCCGCGGGGCCGCGCAGCTCGGGGAATCGGTTCGCTGGGAGTTCGAGGCTACCAGGACCGTCGCCCATTTGGTTCGTCGAGACTTCGCAGCGCCGTGGAGTTCGACGGCGTTGGCGTCCGATACTTCGTCCTGGGGCTACGACGTAGCATTTCGCAATTCTGCAGCGGGGCCGGCCCCGCGGCTGCGCCGCGTCAGTGGCGCGTTGAAGTTATCGGTCAGGGCTTGCGCCAGGTCTCGCGGGGGGGCCTCGGGGCCCGACGCGGAACTTGACGCAGTCGATTTGGTGGCGGAGGCGGGGGGGGGGGACATCGAAGAGGGGGAGGGCGCGTGGTCGGATGCCCCGCAGATCCTCAAGGAAGGGGCCGGGCTGTCTGTGGCCCGCCCCCATGTCCAACATAGTTCATGGCGGGAGCTCGAGGTTTCACCGCTGAAGTCACGCACTCGCGCCGCTCTTGGTTGTCGACACCTCCGCACGTTTGGCTTCCTCACTTGCGTGCTGGCTCTGTGCGCGGGCCGATCAGCAGCGGCCGTCGGCGCGCGCGCCGCGCTTCGCTGCGTGGCCGCCCATGGCCTTGCCGCGGGCGCGGTTTTCGCGGACCGCCGATTCCCCGGCGAGTGGAATCGCGCCGACGGCCCGCCGCGAGGCCCGGGCCGCGTCTGGCGCGGCGGAGGAGCCGCCGCCGCTAAGTGGGAGCCGCCCAGGCGCGACCGTTGGGCTGCCTCCGAGGACGGGCGAGCCCAGGCACCGTGGCAGCTCGCCTGCGCCGCCGCCGGCCCTGCCGCGCCCAGCCCCTGCCGCGGCTGCGCCGGCGACGGCGGGGCCGGCCCCTCCTCGGCATGCGCCGCCCTGCCGCGCTGCCCCGAGGCCCGGCCCCTGTCGGGCGGCCCCCGGGCCGCCGGGATAGTGGACTGCCTGGGCTTGCGCGTGAGCGTTCGGTTGAACGAGCAGTGCTTGGAAGGAATTGGAAGTGGCGCAGAGCCACCCTGCTGGTCGCCATCGCCTGGCTGGATGGACCCCCGCTCGGCCGCGCGGGAGACCGCGCGCCCCCCGTGGTTCGGCTGGCGTCAAAGGGCCGGCGCAAACTGGCGCCCGCGGCCAGTCGTTTGTCGCGATCGGCGGAGGTGGTCTTCACCATCGCGACGGGGCTGCTGTCGATTTACCGCTGGGACATGGCGATGCGCGCGATGCTCCCCCTCGCGTGCACGACGAGGCCCTGGGGCTGGAAAGTCGCCCGCGTCGAGCACCTGGCGCCGACCCCCGTGGCAGGCGGCCAGGGCCGCCCCGCGGGTGTTTGGTGCCCGGGAGGAGGAGACTAGCGGCTAGCGCCGCCTCCCCAGCGAGACGGGTGAGTTCGACGAGTCGCGGCTGGACCTGGACGAGGAGCCGCCGCGGGAATTTTTCCGCGTGCAGTTGGTTCAGGGTCGCGAGGTTCACCTGCGGCGCTCCGCTTTCGCCCAGATCGAGTTCGCCCGCTTCGTCAAGCTGGCGAGTGCAAGCCTGGTGCCGTCGAGGCCCCGCCGCCTCGCGTCTTCCAGCACTCGGACGCGAGTCGCGACTCCGCCGAGCAGCGACGGGCGCTCGCCGGAATAAAACGGCGGGGGCGCTTGCGGACGCGCACCAGTGCGGGGCCCAATGAGAATGGCGGCCGCCTCGGCAGCGAGTTCGCCAGGATTCCCGCCTGACTCCAGGTCCACGCGCGGCGGTGCCTCGAATGCCTCCCCGCGGCGCTACCCGGGTCGCTGCGGACACGCGCGTGCCGCGCCCTCCTCAGGTTGAGGGTGTTTCTGGAGCTCTTCGCTGGAACTGCTCGCCTGGGTCGTGCCATGGCCCGACAGGGGTATCACGCGCTTGCGTTGGATGTGAAATCTGGTGGCCAGTATTCACTGACCCCTCACGTCGATCTTTAATGCGAGGATGGATATTGGGACGTGCCTGTGCTGTAGATTTCGGCTTGTCTTGCTCGTGGCTTTCCCGCGTCCGAGACGTTCCTGCTGCCCCCCTGTGTGGCGGTCTGATCAGGTGATTGGATTTGGTGGTCTCTCCGGTAAAGACCAGGCTCGGGTCGACCTGGGGATTCGTGTCATGACGTTCGCAGTATATCGTTTGCGCGTGTGTTGGAGGATGAGGCCGGCACTCCTGGGAATTTAGCAACGAACAGGTAATGTTTTGCGCCTGCCGCCGTCTTATACAGTCTCGTAGCTCTGCTTCGCAAATCGTCTCGGCCGAATGTTTGTCAGTTCGGCCACGCCTTGGACCAAACGCGCATCATTCTTTGGCGTCTTAATCGATCTTCCATAAGCCGAGAGGCTGCGTATAATAAATTGGAATTGGTGCCCGGCCTCCCAGAAGCTACACATGAATTTCCAGGGTAAAAAATGTAAAGGGCGTTGTTGGATTTCGGTGGCGGAGCCCTACCTCGCTCGGTTGCGTCGTGCGTTTGAGTTGACCTTACCTGAAGCTCTCGCCATGCTGAAGGCTCAGGGTATTGCTCCCCGCCTCCGTGAATGTAATGTAAGGCCGTTTGTTCCAGACCTGTTCTTGATAGTGGTAATGTGTTATGCGGCCCTCGGGTCCAGGGGACATGTAAAGTTGGCTCTCTCTCTCTCTCTCTCTCTCTCTTTCTCTTTTCTATCAGGTTGGATATGGTGGCCGGCGCCTGTTTCAATAAGTGTTTGTTACGCGTGGGCCTATTCACCATTCCTGGCGGAGATTCGTCAGGAGACGAAAAACACACAGACACAATTAATCGTCGATTCCCCGGAAAACGTTGGAAAATATGGGAATTGGGGGGGAAGACAGAAACCCCACAAATATGGGGAAATATGGGGAATCGTTTTATTTGTGTGTATTTATTTGTGTGTCCTGGGGCTCCTTCAATTTGGCCTTTCAGATAAAGTCTTGTCCCTGGTCTCTGAGGGGTGGGATACATTGGAATGCTCCACAACGGTTTGTATGCAGGCACTCGTGTAAGCCGTTCACCGAGTGTGAGTCCCTTTGCTTACATACGCCTTGCGCCCACGCGCACTGCGCTCTCGCTAGCATTGCCTTCAAAGATCTGGTGGCTGGCGCCTGTTTCAATCTGCGTTGGTCGTGCGCTGGCCGATTCACCAGTCATGGCGGAAGTTGCGCCTTACACGTCAAGTGTTGTCCTTCGTCTCTGAGGGGTGGGATACATAGATGTATGTATGTATGTACGTATGTTTGTGTATATATATATATATTTACACATGCGTTCAGATATATGTATATATGTGTATGTATGTATATATATGTGTGTATATAATGTATATATATATATATACATTATATATATATATATATATATACTGATGCCGGGGTATTGGGGGCCCAGGGCCTGGGCAGGGATCCCCCCCAGATTTCCACCCACGTTTTGGCACACAACATGTTTGACCTTTTCTGGGGCCTCCTTGGCCTCCCCGCCGCCGCTCAAAACAGTTTCGGAGGCCACCGGACAGCGACCAGAGCGGTTTGGCAGGGCCGCAGACGCCCGAGTATTTTTCAAGACGGTTCAAGAGGCCCCGAAAACGTTTGAATATTGTTTCTGTATGTGCCGCGGGAAGTCCACAGGAGGCCAACATTTTGTCTTCCCGAAGGACAACGTGCATTTCCAGTATATTCGCGTTTTGGGTTTTGATGGCGTCCAAAACGACCCAAGAGGCCCCCAGAATCGCCCCAAGACGGGCCGAGAGGCCCCAAAGAGGGCCGCTGGACGGCCCAAGAGAGCTTCAAGAGAGTCCACGAGGCGCCCAAGACGGCCAAAGACAGCCCCAAAAAGGATCCAAGAGGGGGAACTCCATCTGACATTTCCAGTCCTCCGCTCCCAGTGGTCCGCCGGGGCCGCCAGCAGGCCCCCAAGCCTAGGGCCCACAGGGAGGCACAGAGAGGCGCCCAAACGGCCCCCAAGAGGCCCCAAGACGCTTCGAAAGTCGTTCCACGAGGCGCCCCAGAAGAATTCCAATAGACCCCAAATTACATGTATCCAAGAATCATCTGGCCCAAACTTCAGGCACAGTAGCGGTATGGGCCGAAGGCCGTCGATAAGCAAGCAATTAGCTTGCCGACGGATGCCCCCGCGCCCACACGCCCGGGCATTACACGTGCGAGGCATGTTCCGAAATGGGCGGGGGGACCACATGCGAAACTGCCCATGGGTGTCGTAGGTGGAGCTCCTTTCTGGGGCATGATTCGCATGACGGGTGTGCCGACATGGGCGGGAAGGAGCTGTACAAACGTTCTCTCTGGGCTTGTAGGTCGTACTCCTTGCGGGCACGATCCGCGTGATGGGGTGTGCCGCAATGACCACCGCGGGCGCAATGCGAACCCTCCGTTATCAGTGCAAATTTGGAGACGTTAATTGTGCACGTCTGGAGAGTTCGCGGAAGCTCCAGCGCGAGTCTCAGAGGAGCGAGAGGTCGTGATAACGGTACGTCCCAAGAGCTCCACGGTTTTCTTGTCAGGGCGTCGTCGGTGTCCTATGCCGTCCCACACGGGCTGCAGGCACGAGGGCCGCCAGGGAGACTCTTCAGTGGTCATCCTGGAACGCATCCTGAGCCAATCCAGGCCTCGGGAAAAGATAGCGAGCACGCATGCCACACTCATCGGTCAACGCCTCCCCCTCCCCCCAATGTTCAAAGTTGGCGGTGGGTCTGGTGAATTCCACTCTGACCACAGTCTCCCCCGCGCGTGCCAACTTTGAGATTGGGGGAGCGGGGTAGTGTCCACTGATTGTTCCCCCACCGTCCTATCATGGCATCGCCATCGTCCCGGAGCCGAGGAACCTCGGAAGTCGCGGAGCCCACAGCGGGGGGATGGAGGAGGAGGCACGGCGACGAGGGGCGGACGCTGACCGCGCTGCACTGTGCCAGAGAGGGGAGGCGGCGGCGCGCCCCCACGCCAGCAGCTGCCTCCGCAGAAGCGGCGGAGGAGGTAGGGCAAGCCCGACCGGCGCGGGAGAGCTGGGCGGCCGACGTTCGGCCCCCGTGCCCGTGCAGGGTGCTCCCGCCCACTCGTCTCGAGCAGTGGCAAAGAGTCCTGGCTTGCCTGGAGGCCCACCAGAGAATGTTTTCAGAACCTCTTGTGGTCTGCACGAGATGTTCTCAGAACAGTGCTGGCTCAAGCTGCCTTGTTTCAACATATCGGGTTTATTCCCTACCTAGGCTCTGCCTGGAAGGGTTCTTACTGTCTGTGCTGAAAGGGGCCTGGCAGTGCTACCCGCCCCGGGCGGTTCTCCCGGTCCCCTGGGAGCGGTTCCCCCAATTGCGCCCCCTAGCTTTAGCATTAGCTTTAGATTTAGCTTTAGCTTTAGCTTTAGCTTAGATTTAGCTTAACTTTAGCTTAACTTTAGCTTAACTTTAGCTCAGAATTAGCTTAGCTTTAGCTCAGCTTTAGCTCAGCTTTAGCTTAGCTTTAGCTTAGCTTTAGTTTATATTTAGCTTAACTTCGGCTTAGTTTTAGCTTAGCTGTAGCTTAGATTTAGCTTAGCTTTAGCTTAGTTTGAGCTTAACTGTAGCTTAGCTTTAGCTTAGCTTTAGCTTAGCTTTAGCTTAGCTTTAGCTTAGCTTTAGCTTAGCTGTAGCTTAGCTTTAGCTTAGATTTAGCTTAGTTTTAGCTTAGCTTTAGTTGAGCTTTACCGTTACTACTAATGCTGCTTTCCTAGGGGCTCCAACTCTTAGGTAGGGTCGCACTGGGATAATGTTCTAAGAACATTATTTTTGTCATTCGGGCACTTGTGGGTCCTAAGACAATGTCGTGGTTGGCCTATCGGAATGCCGGGACGGTCGGTCCCTGCTCAATCTTCGGAGGAGGTAGAGGTACTGACACCGCTACCCCTCCTTCGCTCTCGCCTTTTCTCGGTTCTGTTCGGGCCGCCTGGGCGGCCCTCGTCACCACGGCCGGAGTCGCCTCGCAATCCACGTCAGAGCGCATCCTGGGAGAGGCCCGGGGAGTTGCGTGGTGGTGTCCGTATCTTCTGGTTTCCCCAGCACTGGGCTCCGGGGGGGGGGGGGGGGTCAGGGCACGCGTGCCCTGACCCCGCGGGCTCCCTGCCCGCGGGCAGGGAGCACGCGGCCCCGGGGGGGCCAGCCAGGCGTGTACGCATGCCCCCCCCGCCATGGCCCCTCGTGGGGGTGGGCTGCCAGCAGGAGCGCGGACAGAACGTCGACCACCCGGGAGCAGCGCCGCGGTCGCCGATCCTCTCCCGCGAGGCCCCGGGAGCCCCGAGCATCCGCCGGACACGGAGGCCCCCCCAGCCAGAGCACATCTCAAGCGGACCGCCTCTTGCGGTCCCCGGAGCTGTGCGGTGGCCACACCGCGTGGCGGGTCGGTGGGGACTCGGGGTGGCAGCACGGCCTCGGGGCGCGGGCCGCTCTCCGGTGGAGTCTCGAGCCACTGGGGCCCCCGAGGGTCCCGAGGCCGCCTGTGGGGCTTTCGAGGTCACCGCACGGGCTGTCACCGCACACTTTTTGGGGGGACCCCCTGGGCGCTCGAGTATGTTCGGCCACTTGTCTGCGATCACTGCCGCAACTGTTGAGTTCTCCGTGGGCGCAAGCCAGGATTTGGCGACAGTGCGGCCTGAAAGATTGCCACGGGTGCGAAATGTTGAAACTGGTGATCCGTGTTTTCGCGCTGGCGCCTTTGGTGAACCATTGTGCGCCCCAGGTGCGCTATGGAGATTCGGCAAGGGGCTGGCACGATGAGCGCTCGCCAGCGAAAACCTACTTCTCGCGCTATTTGATTTGGCGGTGGCGTCGCTCGAAGCGCAGACACCCTCCGATGCGATGTTTTTGATCAGCCCGCCGCCCCGGAGATCCCGCCCCCCCTTGCCCAGGCGGAGCCCATCGCCCAGGAGATCCCTGCTCGATGGCCCCCGGGCCCGCGAGCGCCCCCCCGGAGGCCGAGATGCAGGAGAAACGCGGGGATGGGAACAACATCGGATCCGCCGAGGCCCGGGAGCCATGACTGGCCCAGATCGTGGCCTGCCCCCGCTGCTCCACGGACGCCTCCCTGGGAGGGAGGCGGGGGGGCAGAATTTTCGGGAACAAATGAGTAAGCGTCCAGGCGCTTGTCTCCTATCGAGACCCCTATTCCACCGAGTTCCGCCTTGTGGGTAACAGTGGTCTGCACGTAATGCAGCCACGGACCTGTATAGCCGCATTCTGACAAAGGCGGCTTGGGGTCTCCACCATAAGACCGCCCTGGGTTAGAAACCGCCTCTGGGTGTTCCACAAAATTCCGCCTTGGGCTGAAAAACCGCCTTGGGGGGTTTCGCAGGGTTTGTCGGCCACCCGCAGAAGGGGGGTAGGGGGGGAAGGCTTCTTAGAAGCACCCCTGCTTCTTAGACGGCGTGGGCCTTGTCTAAAGATATAGGGCCGGCGCCTTCCAAGAAGCAGGCTCCTTCTAATCGAGTAGGGGGTCAACTACATAATTGATTTCCACCCAACTTGTCTCGTCGAACGTACGACAAATACGTAGCATGCTCGTCGATCTACGGGAACTTCTGCGCAATCTTCGCAGATCCGACGAGCGAGTATATCTTTGGGCGGATCAATTATGTAGGCGATCCCATACTCGATCTAAGAAGCATCCCCCCATCCTACATCCCAGGTTTGGGCCCGAAAGTTCTGGCCCATTCGAAAATACCACGAAGCCTGGGATGGGGATCGACATACATCTAGGCCTCCCAGATGGGGTCCGAAGAGATGAGGTCGGAGGATCGCGCCGCGTCGCCGATGCATCGGCGATGCGGCTCGATGTGGAGCGTGATTTTCTCCACGCCGATGCATCGCCGATGCATCGCCGATGCATCGCCGATGCATCGGCGATGCGGCGACTTCTTCCAAGCCCATCGTACTCGAACCTCATCCAGGAGGCCTCTGAACAGGTTGTCGTCTCATTGGGAGGTCGGCTTCTGCCTCCGCCAGCCTTCCGCCGGCGGAGCCGCCCTCGTTTCGCCTCCACACGCAAGCCACTGCCCCCTCTCGTCCACGGCTCAGGAGGCCTGGTGCTGGGCCAGTAACGCTGTCTACCGAAGCCTGAACACCTCGATCGTCGGCGCAGTCGGACTTTGTCCGATCGGAGCCCCTGAGGTGCCCCTGAAGTGCCCTTTTTGCTCCCGCCGCCTTCCGCCGACATTCCGCCGCCATTCCGCCGAGACAGAGGCTTCCAGCGCGGGCGGGCGGCCCCCAGCGCGTGCGGTCGGCCTCCCCGAGATTGAGGGGGAGGGGAGGAGGACGCGGAGGAGGAGGGGGAGGAGGGGAAGGGAGAGGGGGAGGGAAGGGGGAGGAGTAGGGGAAGGACGAGGACGAGGACGAGGAGGAGGAGGAGAGGAGGAGGACCAGTGCAAACCCAAGAGGCATCAACGATGTTGGAATAAACCCTCACTCCAAGCTCCCTCTTCAGAGGCCCCTGCAACGGTTCATTTCCACTGAGGAAACTGCCCCGTTGGAAGACAACCGTTTGAAGACCATGAAGCATGCCAAAACATTACTCCTGGGATTCCAACGCCACGGATCCACCTGACTGTTGCGTCTTGACGACGCTGAACCGTGCCAGGAGGCCAGTCCTGGGACTTCAACACCGCGAATCCACGTAACTGATGCACCCTCATAATCATGAACCCTTCCAAAAGACCATGTCTGGTACGCTGATCGTGGGAATCAGTGAAACTATTGCAACAGTTTTTTAGTTAATGAAAAAACGCAGGGAACAACTAAACCAATATTTACGCAAGACTGCGCGCGGCGCTAAGGCGACAGCCACATTTTGAAATGGAACAGCCATTAGTCCGCGAATCTCTTGCAACTTAAAAAAAATGAATGCGCGCGGCGCTGAAGCGAGAGCCACGTTTTGAAAACGGGCCGGCCTCAATCCGTGAAGCTCGGGTATGTTTCTAGAACGAATGCGCGCGGCGCTTAAGCGAGAGCCACATGTTGTAAACGGCCCGACCTCAATCCGTGAAACTTTTGCAGGTTTTTCCGAAACGAATGCACGCAGCGCTAAGGCGAGAGCCACATTTTGAAAACGGGCGGCCCTCAATTTGCGAAGCGATTGCCAATGTTTGAACTTCAGGATCGTAAGTGGTGAGGAAGACTCAGACGAAACGCCCGGCCCGCCCTGAAAACTGGCCTTGGGGTGCGACAGGGAGGAGTTATCAAAAAAGAAAATGGATTGGAGGAGAAGGAGGAGGAGGAGGAGGAGGAGGAGGAGGAGGACCAGTGTAAACCCAACGGTCATCTACGATGTCGGAATACATCCTCCTTCTGAGCTCCCTCTTCACAGGCCCCTACAACGGTTAATGTCCATTGATTGTTGGAGTTACAACCGTTTGAAGACCATGAAGCATGCCTAAACATTATTCTTGGGATTCCAGCGCCACGGATCAACCTGATTCTTGCGTCTTGACGATGCTGATTCGTGTCAGGACGCCATTCCTGGGACTTCAACACCGCGAATCCACCTAACTGGCGCACCCTCATAATCCCGAATCCTTCCAAAAGCCCATGTCTGGTAATTGCGCTGACCATGGGAATCCGTGATCTTCTTGCACATGTTAAAAAAAAACAACGAGTGTGCGCGGCGCTCAGGCGAAAGCCACATTTTGAAAAGGAACCGCCCTCAATCCGCGAACGTCTTGCAACTTTTACAAATGAGTGTGCGCGGCGCTGAAGCGAGAGCCACGTTTTCAAAACGGCCCGCCCTCAATATTTGAAATTCTTCACGCTTCGCGTATCCCCACCAGCCCATCTCAAAACAGCAACTCTTGCGAAGCATGCCGACAGTCGTGTTTTTCAGGCGTGTTTCCGCCTGCCCCCGCATATCTCCCCTGTTCCTCCTTCCTCCCGCCTCCTTGTACATCCTCCTTGTGGTGGGAGCGGGAGAAGGACGAGGCGGAGGAGGAGGGAGAGAAAGCGCTCCTCGTGGTTTGAGTCGTTT